CAATTTTGTGGTAAGGAAGGATGTGAAATAGAGTAGGGAAATTTTGGTCTAGTTGATTCTATTGTGATTTCAGCTGGTTATAACCCCAGCATTGTAAAACACTTTTTCATTGTGTGGATTGAGGACACGAAGTATATGTCACTGGTGGCTTCTTTAATGTGTGTGAGAGGCAGTATGATTTGTAAACATAGTGTTGCTCAGTGGAAGTGGTTTGACTAGTTTAAAATAAAGTGCTGCCTACATAATGTTAAACTTATGGAGGAGACAGTATTAGGAAAGAGGAGCATGAGTTAAAAATATGTAATAGAAAAAAGTAAACTGAAGTTATGATTTCATGGAGATCAACGATTTTATCTGCTCTGAACTCCTCTTTGAGACTTTTAAATGTTAAACTGTTTGATACTTATAAAAACAAAATTTATATAGTAAATTGGGGTGAGATGAGGAATACAAAAAACTGCTGTATTATTTGAATTATACTATGAATAATATTTGATTGTTTGAATTAGCTCACTAGAATGAGACTAAATTTGGATAAAGAGAAGTATGCAGTAATAAAGTGGAAGAGCTGAACAGTGCAAGATACTGTTGAGAAGAATATTAATAAGCAAGGGTGTGTAGAGAGAAATATTGTACGAAAAAGTTTGTTGGCTAATTTGGCATACTGTACTCAGTGTAAGGTCGAAGTTTGTAACATAATTTCCAAGCTTCAAAGGTACAACACTCTTAATACACTTGGGGGAGGCCTTTTTAATGGGGTAAAATCTAGCAAACATTTTATTGGTCAAGCTTTAATATTCATTCATCACACTTTGCTTCATTACCTCCTGAATTTTATCGTACGTTAATGTAAAAATCTTAGTGCAGGAATTTTTTACTCAGTTTAAATTAAGCATGACAAGGTACTGAAGAGGTTACTATCAGGGGCATTTTAGTATATTAAAATTAGCAACATCTTTAGTAAGAGATAGGGGGATTTTTTTTTTTTGCTGCTAATGGTATCTGTAACTGAACTTGAGTTATTACAATTTCACGAACACTGAATTGGTTGGTTGGTTGATACGTGTCCTTAACTACACATTTTGTCAGTTTTTCTGTTTAATATACAAATTCATATCACATTAAGAATTAATAAGAAAGTGCTGCTTACTAAACATTAAGTGCATATTTAGTATCTTGAGGAAAACAGCAAGTAGCTAATAATGTAAAACAAAAAAGTTCAGCTACAGGTGTCCTTGGCTTGAGTAGATGTAGAGAGGGGCTTGTCACTGTTCATTGAAAAGATTGGTTCTTCTTAGATGGAATGTGTGTTGCATCTCATTTCCAAGACAAAAATGCTTTAGTGAATCATTTTCAGCCTATGGCTGTTTTATTAGTCTTGTCATGCAGAAGGAGCATTGCATGCATTTTAAGTGGCAGCTGTGAATGATGAACTCTTATATTAAATGTAATGTTTGCAGCCCTTGACTACAGTGTGACCTATAGTCCAGCACAATAAATAAATGATCATGGCTACTTTAGTTTAGCAAGCAGGTCACCCCACAAGCCTTTGTAAATATCCAGTTTGCTTAGTGCCTGCAGCTTGCTTATACGAATTGACGAGAGTATGATTTAAATACAATACTGTACAAATATTCTGTTTCGTAAAGCTCACTTTAATTTTGCATCTCTGCAGTTTGTCAGAAAATATTTTTTGTGTCTGAGGTTCTTAGTGCACACTGTTTATTTTGAATTATTACTATTAATGTGAAGGTTTAATTATTATGCAGTATTATTGTCATTATGAACTTTACAGAGGAAAACAGTCATGATGTGCACAGCTCTTCTAGTCTAAGAGTTAAATCTTATCTTTTATATTAGTGACTTGCAGTGCATCATGGTTGATTAGTGTCATTCCTTTATGCCGAGGCACTAATAAATAGTCAAATTGCTGCCCATTAATTGTTGTGAAAGCCATTGTATTTTGCACTGTAAGTCACACCAGAAATATTAAGACTGGTTTACATACATGGTTATGGAAATTATGTATAAAATGATTAAGATAGGTGGCTTTATAAAACATTTGTTCTAACAACTACAGAAGTAACTAAATATATACAGTACGTACAGTAATTTATTGTTAGTATGTTGGCTCAAATCAACCTGCAGAGCACTATTACTAATGCTTTGGTAAGGATTTTATACTCTTTACATTAGATTGTCTCAGTAAAAATGGTTCACTTGAGTTCTCATGTATAGCAATTTGATATATTTGTTGTATAATTTTTCAACCTGAACACTTTTAGAGAGAAGATTTTAAATTATTAAAGAAGTTATTACTTTGCTCTCTCTTTTCTGTTTAAAGTACTTCCTTGTTTTATACATATAAGATGAAGTTGTAATGGTCTCGTAGTTTTGGTTTAAGTTACAATACTTCAGAAAGAAAGACGTACACTTTTTTCTTATTGGAAGTCATTAATGGCATATTTTAATGGGAATACTTTGTAATCAGTTAAGTTCATAAATTTATTGTGAATTATTTGGTTTTAGTTAATAGCAACATATGCCCTTTAAAGTATTGTACATATTTGAATATTACTTCATTTTTATTTTTTTTTTATATGAGCACCAAGGATTTCCAGTTTTAGGGTTTGTATGATTTCTGCAAATTGCAGTTTTCATCTTGAAATGGGGAGTAAAGAAATAATTTCAGGCTTGGAAGAGATTATCAAAATATGAGTTTCCTCCCGTGACATCAGATTACCAGACAGCTATATACTGTACCAGTGAGAACTATTATGAAGCTTCACTGTATAGCACTGGTATGTGTTGCCAACTTGAGTACTTACTTGTGGTGTTGACCGTTATGGTTTATTCTGGCGTGGTGTGGCGGCGTGCCCGTGGTGTGGATTGTGTCGTGTAGCGCACCTGGTGGGCGGGCGCAGGGCCACTTGGACGGGCACCAGGCGCAGGCCGGAGTTGGAGGGTGAGGAGGAGGAGGGAATGGAGGGCATTGAGGAGGATGTGGAGGAGGGGAGGCTTCCATCATTTCGGGGGGATTGGGCTGGCCCACCCCCTGCCCTAGAGGCCCTCAAAGCTAGATATCGTGCAGCAGTGGGGGCAAGAGGTAGCCCATCTCCTCAGAACACTCCCCCCTCCCCACCCACCACTACCACACCCACCACCACAACCACTACAACCACCACCACTGTCCACACCAGTAAGTCTGCACCATGCTCAACCACTTAGCCTGACCACTCTCTCTCTCACTTTGGTTATGGTTACCCTACAAGATACATTAATGAGTACAACTCACATAAGGGAATGACACAAGCTGTTAGGGTGTGGTTAGTGGCTTTCTTGGTTCTTAAATAATTTGGCCATAATTTTCTTAAGTCCTCAGTGCACCCTTGAAACTTTTGGGGTACTCAGTATCATTCACATTCTTGGAAATCACCTTGACTGGCAAAAAGTCATGATTGAGTTTATTCCAAAATATTTTGACAAAATTGTCTTCTCTGCCTTTATGTAGGTTATGAAGGAGATGGTTGTTTTCTAGCTAGATGTATCACTAGAAAAAAGCATAATTTATTATATTTCTGAGTTAAGGTGATTCCATGCTAATTGTGAGGAGTTGTGGTCATTTTGGATCTTACCAAGTTCATTGTGCACTTTTTTTTCTTCTGGCGGTGCTGGTGGTTATTGCGGTAAAACCTGTCGTGATCGTTGCGCTTTGATACCTCAGTTGCTTCTGTTGATGGTGGTGTGTATGTCACCCTGAGTCAAGATATTCACTAGCATGTAAATCTTAAGCAAGGAAGAGCCCTCGTAAAGTATTGCATTGTTGGTCACTGGTGTATCATTATCAGGAGAAAAATAGATTAAAGAGCACAGTAGTATGCCATTCATTGTAATAAATGATTAAGTTACTTGGGCTTCTCCTTCTCCTCCTGTGGTGCTGGTGGTTCCTGCCGTGACTGATGCGTTTTTGCTCCTTGAGTTGCAAGCATTTGCCAGTATATGCTTGAGCTTAGCATGCTCTTGGTATATTATTATCAGTGCTGCACATATAAGAGTAGGTTCTGAGTCTTTTATGTGCTTGTCCCATAGTGGATATTTATTTCATATTGATTTATTCTTTAATCCCCAGGTAAGCTTTTATCTTCACTTAGTACGTTTAATTACTGTATTTATTTTCAGACTGTAATGCCACAAAAATTGCAGTAATACTTTTTGCTCCAATTTACACTGTTGTTGAATGTGTGTAGTGTGACGAGTTGAAAAAAATATCAAAGATATTTCAGATTTTTTAAATGGATGTCCATTTTTAATTTTAGATATTTTACCTTTGTATAAATCTATTGAACATTCTTAAATTACTTACAGATATTAATACAAATATTTTTTGTCCAGCCACATGAATTGAAGATGGAGAACATGTATGTGGTGGATTGTATTGGTGATTTTAAGTTCCAGAAAGATTGAATGAGAACTCAGTAAGTTCTCAAAGAATTCATGTTTCATAATAGCCAGTTGGATTTGGTAGTATGACATGATTGTTAGTAGGTGGATGATACACTTGACATGTTTTGGACATGACAGACATATGGTTGTCATTTTACAACTAACCCATAATTTGGATAGGAAGGTTTAGACAACATTTCAGCTTGTACTGGATCATTCTCAAGTCAATTGACTTAACAGTGCAGGACTGACTTAAGACATTGTCAATTTTTTTTTTTTTTTTTTCAAAATTGTGGGTTATGAATTGTTGCAGCTGTGGTATTATGACTTTTATTCTTCTATATGCTGGCATGATTGGGGTAGTGAGCCCTGGTCTAGCACCTCAAGTAGTACTCTCCTAATTTTTGTAGCAATGCTGGCAGGTTCTGAGGCAATAGAGCTGCTACTGTAGTTCAGTAGTTATGCCTTGTGTCCATTTCTACTGCCCCTTTTCAATTAAAATGATGTATACATAAATGTTAGATGTGAATATTAACTTGTATACATTTTATTTGCAGCTGGTGTCTTGGGGTTTGGTCCAGGATCCCGTCGGGCATATGTTGGAGGGCCGGGGGGAGAGGAGGATGCATTGGAGGGTCTTGGAGAATTAGCTCAGCTGACAGTAACTAATGAAGCTGATGCTACATACGATGTAAGTGTTTTTTTGTAAACCATTCTATAAAATGACAATAAAAGTGTTAGTGAAGTGAATTCTGTACATTCAGTTGCTAGAAGGATGGGGTGAATGCTAAAAATAAAAATTCTATAGAGATTCAAGTTCATCTTCTGGTTTGGGTAAATGCAATATTTCAGTATACTAATTTTGGGATGTTGTTTTTAAATATAGTTCCTAGTTATATTATCACCCAGTAATATGAACTGCCTGTTTGCAGACCCTGCAATTTTTTCCTGAACTGATGTGATACAAGTACTGAGTACTGTATTTCAATGCCAACAGACTGTTGGTAAAGGCACATGTGCAACACTTACATATTTATTAAAGAAACATTTTGTCCACAAGGGGATTTTGTCATTCCTATAGAGTTTTACTTAACCCTTTGACTGTTTCGGTCGCATATACACATCTTACGAGCCACCATGTTTGACGTATTAATACGCCAAAATTCTAGTGGCTTCAAATCAAGCAGGAGAAAGCTGGTAGGCCCACATGTGAGAGAATGGGTCTCCATGGTCAGTGTGAATCATATAAAAAAAAATTGGGGAGTCAGTGGTGCATTGTGGGAATGCCATTTCAGTAGTCCTTTTTCAGCATGCCTAGCAGTAAGAAATGTGATGCTCTAACAGCTCATGGCATTGGGGGAAAAGTGCTCTCGTGGGTCGAGTCATGGCTCACAGACAGGAAGCAGAGAGTGTCCATAAATGGGGTTAAATCCGAGTGGGGATCTGTAACAAGTGGCGTTCCACAGGGATCAGTCTTGGGCCCGTTGTTGTTTATAATATATTATATCAATGATCTTGATGAGGGTGTTACTAGTGATATGAGCAAATTCGCCGATGACACAAAGATAGGTAGGATAATTGATTCAAACGTAGATGTTAGGGAACTTCAGGAGGATTTAGACAAACTCTACTCTTGGTCAGAAAAGTGGCAGATGCAGTTCAATGTAGATAAATGCAAGGTTCTGAAGCTCGGGAGTGTCCATAACCTTAGCACTTATAAGTTAAATAATGTAGAACTTAGCCATACAGATTGCGAAAAGGACTTGGGGGTTATGGTGAGCAGCAACCTTAAACCAAGATAGCAATGCCTAAGCGTACGTAATAAGCCAAATAGATTACTGGGATTTATATCAAGAAGTGTAAGCAACAGAAGACCAGAGGTTATACTGCAGCTTTATACATCATTAGTAAGGCCTCACCTAGATTATGCAGCTCAATTCTGGTCTCCATATTACAGAATGGACATAAGTTCGTTAGAAAACATTCAGCATAGGATGACTAAATTAATACATAGCATTAGAAATCTTCCTTATGAAGAAAGATTGAAGACTCTTAAGTTACATTCACTTGTTAGACGAAGAATGAGGGGAGACCTGATCGAAGTGTATAAGTGGAAGATAGGTATTAATAAAGGGGATATTAATAAGGTCTTGAGGATGTCTCTCCAAGAGAGAACCCGCAGTAATGGATTTAAATTAGATAAGTTTAGATTTAGAAAGGACATAGGAAAGTATTGGTTTGGAAATAGGGTAGTTGATGAGTGGAACAGTCTACCTTGTTGGGTTATTGAGGCTGGGACTTTGGGTAGTTTCAAATTTAGGTTGGATAAGTACATGAGTGGGAGGGGTTGGATTTGAGTGTGACTTTCACATCAGAGCTTATTTCTTGGGTGGCATTGAAAATTGGGTTGGGCAAATGTTTTGTTAGTGGGATGAATTGTAAAGGACTTGCCTAGTATGGGCCAACAGGCCTCCTGCAGTGTTCCTCCTTTCTTATGTTCTTATGTTAACACAGATGGAAGTTTCAGTGAAGATCAATTTCATGGTTCTGAGGAGTTTGTGACTGAAAGCAATGCCCAGGATACCAGAAGAAAGAAAGAAAGGAAGGGAGGGAGAAAGAAGAAAAAAAGAAAGAAAGAAGTAGAAAGAAAGATAATTACTTGGAGGATGGAGGGGAAGTGAGCAATCCTCCCAATCGTCCCTCTACTTCTCAGAGGCCAAAAAAATCTCCTTTAACCCCTCCCACCCTTCATCCACCTCCACATTTTACCTTCCCGGTCTCTGTACCTGAGTCTTCCCCTTTCACTGGCTCTGTTACAAGTGTGGAGGTTCATCCTCCTCCTCGTACTGTGCCTTCCTCCCCTGTCCCCTCCCAAGTTTCTTCCTCTTCTGCCACCTCCCAGGTTTCTGCCTCTTCTGTCCCCTCCCACACTTCTCTAGTTTCCTCCACCCTTTCGCCCCCCCCCTACCTTGGTACAGTCCATTACAGCTCCGATCTTTACTCAAACTCCTCCTCCTTCCATCTCCAATATTGTCTCCCATACGACATCTCTGAACTCCGAAACACTTGAAGCAATCTCTGAATATATTGCAGAGACCAAACCATCAGTGGACACTGATCCACCCTCTGTTCCTTCTCTTTCCTATTCTCCATCTGTGCAACTCCTTTCTTCACAACACACCGTTCCTTCGCTACTTGAACGTTTTCCTTTGCCACCGCATGTGGACTTTTCTAACCCCTCTAGTCCGTAGGTACCCTTACCTGCGGATTTCAGGTATCTTTATCGTTGCCAATCATGGCCTATTTACAGTGGAATATTCGCGGCCTCAGGGGTAATCGGGGTGAGCTTCAGATGTTGCTCTCCCAGTTTTCCCCTGTTGGTGTTTGCTTACAGGAACCAAAATTACACTCTGCCGTTATCTATCCTATCTCAGGCTATAATTTATTGTATTCTTCAGATCCTTTTCCTGATGGGACCTTTAATGAAAATGCCCTTCTACGCACTGATATTCCGTACCATTAGCTATTTGTTCGTACTTCGCTGCATTACACAGCAGCCCGTATCCACTTGCATAGGTGGTATACACACTGTTCTTTGTATCTCTCCTTCTCGGGCATTATCTATCTCAGATATTGCCTTTCTTGTTTCGTCATTACCGCCACCACTTCTGTTACTTGGTGATTTTAATGCCCATCATTTCCTCTGGGGGGGGGGGTTCTCACTGTGATTCCCATGGCATTCAGTTAGAGGCTTTTCTTGCCACCCACCCCCTCCATGTTTTAAATACAGGTACTCTCACCCATTTTGATCCTCGGACTCATACTCTCTCTTGCATCGATCTCTCAGTCTGCTTTTCCTCCGCCGCATTAGACTTCACCTGGTCTGTTCTCCCGGATTTACATGACAGCTATCATTTCCCAATCGTTCTTACTTCCCCTTCATATTCACCACCTCTTTGTAACCCACGCTGGCAATTTGAACAGGCAAATTGGAACCTTTACTCACAACTAACTGTTTTTAGTGAGGTTCCTTCTTCGTCCTCCATTGATGAGCTTTTACACCTCTTCTCGTCCTCCGTTTTAACAGCAGCTTCTCATTCTATACCCCAAACTTCGGGCAGGCATTCTCAGAAATGCATGCCTTGGTGGTCTCCTGCTTGTGCTCATGCAGTACGTTTGAAACGCTCTGCGTGGGGCAGGTACCGGTACAATAGAACCACGGAGAGACTTCTTGATTTTAAGCAGAAGCGTGCGATCACTTGCCGTGTCATCCGTGATGCTAAACGCACTTGCTGGCGAGTTTATGTCTCCACCATCACCTCTGCTTCCTCTATGAGTGCAGTCTGGAAAAAAGTACGAAAACTGAGTGGTAAATATTCTCCTGACCCGGCTCCTGTTCTGCGGGTTGCCGGTGTTGATATAGCAAACCCAGATGTTGCCAATGAAATTGGCAATCATCTGGTCCGTATTTCTCAGGGGCTCCATCTATGCCCCTCATTTCTTTCCTCGAAGTCTGCCAGAGAGTTAGCACCCTTAGACTTTTCTTCTCTCAGAGAAGAACAGTTTAATGTGCCTTTTACACTTCAGGAACTGGAGGCAACACTCTCAGCTTGCCAATCATCGGCAGCTGGGCCCGACGACATTCATATTCGTATGCTACAACATTTACATCAGTCAACCCTTGCAGTCCTATTACACCTTTCCAATCTTATTTGGTCACAGGGAGTTCTTCCACAGCTGTGGAAATCTGCCATTGTTCTCCCTTTCCACAAACCGGGTACTACAGGACATGAAACCTCCCACTATCGTCCCATTGCTCTTACCAGTGCAGTTTGCAAAGTGATGGAATGCCTGGTAAATAGACGTTTAGTGTGGTATTTAGAGACATACAACAGTCTCTCCACTCGTCAATATGGCTTTTGTAAGGGCTGTTCTACCATAGACCTGTTACTACGCTTGGATACATATGTTCGTAATGCCTTTGCGAATAACCACTCAGTTATTGCTATATTTTTTTGACCTTGAGAAGGCATATGACAAAACTTGGAGGTATAATATTTTGGCCCAAGCCCATTCCTTAGGCCTTTGAGGCAATCTACCATCCTTTCTTAAGAACATTTTAACCGACAGACATTTCCGTGTTCGGGTTAATAATGTGCTCTCCTCGGACTTTATCCAAGCTGAAGGTGTCCCCCAGGGATGTGTTCTGAGCACAACACTTTTTCTCCTTGCTATAAATGATTTGGCCTCTAGTCTTCCATCCAATATTTGGTCATCACTCTGTTGATGACTTCGCTGTTGCATGTGCAGGCACTGACTGTCACCTCATTACAGTTTCTCTCCAACATGAGGTCGACAGTGTTTCCAATTGGGCCACCACACATGGGTTTAAATTTTCCAGTACCAAAACTCACCAAATTACTTTCACTAGATGCTCTGTCATCTCCGATCATCCTTTGTACCTCTATGGCTCCCGTATCCCTGAACGTGATTCAGTCAGGTTTCTAGGCCTCCTCTTTGACCGTAGGTTATCCTGGAAACCTCACATTACCTCTCTGAAGGCAACTTGTCACAGCCATCTGAACCTTCTTAAAACCCTTGCTCATCTTTCATGGTGAGCTGATCGTCGAACTCTCCTTCGCCTACATTCCGCCCTCATTTTATCGAAACTTGATTATGGCGACCAGATCTATTCATTGGCCTCTCCTGCTACTCTATAGCCTTAACCCCATTCATCACCAAGGATTACGTTTATGCCTTGGTGCTTTTCGCTCTTACCCTGTTGAGAGCCTCTATGCAGAAGCGAATGTTCCATCCTTATCCGATCGCCATGATCCCCATTGCCTTCGCTACTATGTACGCTCTCATGATCTCCGCAATCCTTCCATATATAGAATGGTCACCGATATTAGTAGACATTCTTTATTTGTTCGCCGCCCCTGTTTGCTCTGTCCCTTCTCCCTTCGCCTACATTCGCTCGTCTTCTCTTCAGTTACCATCTCTCTATGTTCGTGTAGCATCTCACTTTTCCCTACCCCCCCTGGGAAGTTCCGCTTTGAGTCTGTTCTTTCTCACTCCCTGGCTCAAAAGCCCAACTGTCTGGGTACTTCCCCCCTCTTTTTTTTTTGACCATTCCACCTCATTTTCATCCCCATTCAGTGTAACAGATGGCTCTAAGTCTTCTGACAGCGGGGATTCGCAGCAATTTTTTCCGGACAGCATGACGGGGGCATTTACTATTTCGGCTGTATTTTTACTGCTGAATTGTATGCCATTCTTCAGCATTTACCGTATTGCATCTATCCCCATGTCTCATTTTGGTTTTCAACCCCCCTTAGTGCTTTACAGGCTTACAGAATTTGATACACCCACCCCTTAGTCCTCCGACCAATTTTGGCTACCTGCACCCTTTTTTCCAAGCAAAAAGATATTGTTTTTTTTTTGGGGCCCTGTCATGTTGACTACAGGGCAATGAGCGGCAGACCTGCTGCGCGTCAGCGGGACATGACCTACCAGTTTCAATAGAGGTGTTCCATTTAGGGGACTTTTTTGCTGCAATAGCTACCCACATTTACCCCCCGTTGGCAACAAGTTTGGCTACTCTGCTCGTAACAAACTTCAACTTTAAAAAGAGTATAGGTTTCGGGCCCCTTCTTTTCACCCTTTTTCGAGGTTGGGGGAAATACTCTCTCCCCTCCCCCCCCCCCCCCCCCCCCAATCCAAACCCCCCCCCCCCCTTTTGGGGCTTCCAACGTTGCCCAAAATTCTATTTTTAACGCCCACCCCTTTTAACGACATGCAGAATATACCTCCAACGTTTTCTTGCTCCCCCTGCTCTCTCTTTTTCCTTTTCCCTTCTCGCTGAGGACCCACCTTTCATCCGGGCTCCTCATTTTACTTTTTGACAACAATGACTTACTTCACAAACTCTGATGATACCTTCAGCCCTTTCTACCTCAATCTCTTGCTGCCCTCTACCCCCGCACTATCCCCCGCCCCGCTGTTTTCTGTAACCTACTGATCATCCCTCCCCCCTTCTACCGCCCAATACCCTCGCTTCCTTCCCTACCCTGCAGCGCTGTATAGCCCTTGTGGCTTAGCGCTTCTTTTTGATTATAATAATAATCTTCAGCCACTGCTTGGCAAAACATTTCCAGAATAAAGATACCCAAATGTTGTACAGGTGTCTCAGTTATCAACGTGTCGGTTTTGTAAACCGTTAATTCATATGAATTTATTACTTTGTTAAAGAACATGGGAGTGCTAGATGTGCTTAGGTGGTGGATGTATGTGAAAACTAACCATTAATTTTGTGTGAATGAATAAACCATTTGTACAATTTGAAATAAGAAAATGTATGTGCTTATGCATGAAATAGTACAGATTGTCACCTTAGTGGAATATCAGAGATGTTACAACTAAATAAGGCAGAAAGGTTTCTGAATATGTGAATTGAGGAAAAAACAAAGAATGGGGTTATACATAAAGCTAAGGTTATAAGGCACAAGGTCTTATCATTTTATAAAACCGTAAATGAGATGGGATTTTTCATACAGAGATAGCCTTGCACCTACATTATTAAATGCATAGAATGAAGGGAGATATGACTAAACCCACAAACAGAAGACTGGTATAAATGAAGTGCTGAGGTTAACTGAGAACTAAAAAGAATGGATTGAAGTTGGATAATTTCAGATTTTCTCCATGGGAAAGTGAAACAGATTTCTTCCTCCAGAAGTCATGCATGTTGTAAGAGGCGACTAAAATGCCTGGAACAAGGTGCTAGTACTTCCTTCTCCTTTATAAATTTCTGAATTTAAAAAGAAAAACTTTTGTTTCTTTTTTTAGGTCTCTCTATCTCGGTGGGATATGACTGGGTCATTGAAAAAAAAAAATCAGATCTTGATATTTTGTAGGAAAATTCTGGTTTGGATGTAGAGTTGTGAACGAATGCACCAATTAGTAAAGCAGTTATCATAGCTAACACTTGAGTGGCTTTATAAATAGGTAATTATTATTTTTCTTATTCCTATTGAGTTACAGTATTCGTCTTTTTGCCCTTAGTCTGCTTTATTTCATATAAGTTTTCAAGTAATTAAAACTTTTTGCACAATTCAAGCAGATATCATCAACCAAAGAGAATTTCCGGAAAACCTGGACAGCCAAATACACATTGCGATCGCACTTTGATGGAGTGCGAGCACTTTGTTTCCACCCACAAGAACCCACTCTTATTACTGCTTCTGAAGATGCTACACTAAAACTCTGGAATCTTCAAAAAACTGTTCCAGCCAAGAAGTATGTTGCTTTTCAATTTTTTCTAGTTTATAATCTCTCATGCCATTTGAAACTTGGATGTATAACTTTTAGAAATTCATTATATGGTAATACTTTTATCCTAGGATGTAAATTATTCCTACAGTGTGAATTTTACAGTACTTGGAGGTTATGAAACATTTCATAAATTTGCAGATACAGTGGACCCCCGGTTAACAATATTTTTTCACTCCAGAAGTATGTTCAGGTGCCAGTACTGACCGAATTTGTTCCCATAAGGAATATTGTGAAGTAGATTAGTCCATTTCAGACCCCCAAACATACACGTACAAACGCACTTACATAAATACACTTACATAATTGGTCGCATTTGGAGGTGATCGTTATGCGGGGGTCCACTGTACTATACTTAACTGATGTGTCTAAAACTTTTGTTCTATTTTTCTCTAAATGTTGAAGATGTGCATTATCACACAAACTTACATTTACTTTCCAATATGTTTCTTGTTAGCTCGTATTCCTGTAATATTTCTATTCTAATTCGGAAGGCCTGGTTATTGACCAAGCTGAAGAGGCAATGATCTCTGGAACCATTAACATATATTTAACAGATATAAGCTACAACTAACATTAGAGTATTGTATATCAGTAAGTTAAGATTTTTTTTTTTTAATTCCAAGTTCTATTACTTAAACTTTTAGATAAGCTCAAACTTGTCACTTTATATTTTTAGCTCTGTGTGAAAATCTTGTTCAAATTGAATATAAATTTTTAATCATCATATTCCTTATTTTCAGTTTCTATCAACATCTCCATTATTCAGCTAATTTACTTTTTGCTTTCAGTTTTTCTGATAAGGTCTCTAATCAAAGATACCTAGTACAAACTTAATTTCTTGCAGTTCATATAATTCCTAACTTGTGTTTTTCCTCTTTCATCTCTACTATAATTTCTTAACTCAGTAATATTTTGCAGAATACTAGAATATAAAGAAAAGCAACAAAACAGCCTTACACTCCTGTGTCATTTGAATCATTAGCCATTATTACAACACTTTCTTCTTCCCATACATCTTTAAATTCTTTACACAAAAAACCTGCACATAGGAGAAAGGAACTTATGATGACATTTCAGTCTGATGTGGATCATTAACTAGTCACATCCTAACACACAAAGGTAAGGGAGCCATTGCACTGGTTCCCTTACCTTCGTTGTTAGTGTGTGACTGGTTAATTGTCCAAGTTGGACTGAAACGTCATAAATTTTTCTCCTAGGTGTGGGTTTTTTGTGTTTTGTTCTAGTCACAGTACAGCCTCTCCTCACTTAGTGATATTCTCATTTACTGACAACTCAGACTTAAGACGGGCTCTCTGACCAGTATGCATACCTAAATAATGTATATTAGAAGTGATTTCCTCTATTCTGTTTGTTACAATATACAGAACACTGCTGGATAAACATTTAAAAACATACTAAAAATGTTATAAATGGTGTAAGGGTGATGTTAAAATAATATCAAAGATGGTTGACACAAACCCACTACCATTTTAGTATGGCCCTTGCTTAGCAACAAATTTGTTTACCAATGTGGTCTTAGAAACAGAACTCCATCATTAAGTGAGGAGAGGCTGCATTCTCTTTTTATTCTTTAAATTCTTAAGTTGTAGGTTAATGTAAAAATGGAATCTATTTCAGGTCAGCATCTTTGGATGTCGAGCCAGTTTACACCTTTCGTGGTCACCTTGGTCCTGTTCTTTGTTTAGCGATGAACAGTGATGGGGAAAAGTGCTATTCAGGAGGAATTGATGGTACCATACGAATCTGGAACATCCCTTCCTCGAATATCGATCCCTATGATTCATACGGTTAGTTTTCCCATAAATTCACAGTATACAGTCAGTGCATTATCTTTATTTAGCACTATGGGTAGTCACTTCTTGACGAAGACGTGACACTGGGTAGCTTTAATCAAAGATACCTAGGTGTTGCACGTTTCTTCATCAACGAACTGTCATTACATTACCTTTGTTCCTGTGATATAAGTTTTATTGTAAGGCAGTGTGTGTGTAATATTTACTAAAGAATATTTAGGACAAATTTAATTACTAGTTTGGTTTTAGGAGCATAATCAGTATTTAACCCTTTATGCAAGACAGAACAAACTAGTGGTTATAAGATATTCATTCACACATTAAACAGTAGTAGCATGAAAGAAAAGAATTTTAGGTCTCCTCCTCTTTTTTTTTTTTTTTTTTTAAGCATAAATGGAGTGGTATTGGCAGTGTATGGAAAAAAAAATTGCCATTATTTTATGCTAACACTTAGTCTGTCAGAAGGTATCAGCTTAGTGAATGGTTATGATGCCTTAATTCAACTCAAAACAGCTGTTGTTCACTTGTCACATATGTCTTGAACCAAGAATAAGTTTATGTACTACATTTTCTTTATAAATTCACAATTATACTAAAGAATACAATAGTAAAATTACTACTGTATTACCAAAGACTTGCATTTATAGTAGGTTCCCTACTTATAACCCTAATTAACCGTTTCAGGATCCAGACTCAAAATCTGAGACGTGTCTACAGGGTCCAAGAATTTAAATTTTTTTTTTTTTTCTTATGAAATGGTAGAGAATCTTTTTCTAAAGGTAATAAAACAAAAAGTACGAAATTTGATGGAAAATTGACAAAATTGTGTTCTTGCAAATTTTGATGTGTCAGTGATATTTACGCATCGGCAATTTTGCTGAGTTTGACTCCCATTTTAGGCCAATTACATTATTCCAGTTGACCAAGTTCTTAGCAATTTCACTAGTATTACTTCTATTTTATCGATTGAGTACAAGAAATCACCAAGTCGACTGTTTCAACTAACACAAAGTTCAAAATATTCCTATTTCAAAATAGGGTCCAGAATAAACAATGCAGGCATTCCTGGCACTAAACTAACATTTTCTCTGTTCATTAGTTACATTTTCAGGCTTTACAAATGAATTCCATTTTGATTTTTTATTTGCATAATGAATTTTTATTCAAACCCAAAAATGGAAGATTTACTGTATGCAATATTGTAATAACTGTATAAATAATATCAGCGCATTTGTGAACATACATAAGACCCACCAGCTGACATCTAGTGGATGAGTGATGTGTTTACTCTTGAACATCAGTAAAAATTTACCATTTCTGCTAATTTAAGCTTGGTTTCAAGCCATTTTCAGTACTAAAACCAATGAAAATCATCTCTATTTCTGTAATATATCTTCCATTCTATCAAATGAGATCAAGAAATCATAAATACAACTATAAAAAACCTATAATAAAACACCGCAAAGTCGCTGTTTTAATCCAAAATTATGATCTCAGTTTTTTCTCTCATTATGCACTATGCTGCAGGATTTGTTTTATGTGGTGCACACTTACCACATAGATATATTCTATCATATCTAGGCCCAAATTTACCCCTCACAGTTTGTCTGAGTGAGCTGAGCTCATGGTATAGAACTACAGTTTTGACCCTGAAAGGGTTAATTGCTAAAAATTGTAACTGTGAGTGTTTGAAATTCTGGCCCTATTTTCCCAAGGACTTCCTTGTCATATTCAAGATGCAAGGGGGCTTGGACATACAGCAGGCATATGTGAGCGTGGTAGATAGGAGTGAGAGGAGACGAGTGATTTTTGGGACTTGACTCGCTGTTGAAGTATGAGTAAGGTAACATTTTGTGAAGGGAAGCTGGTTAGCTGGACTTAAGAGTCTTGGTGATGGGAGGTACAGTGTCTGCACTCTAAAGGAAAGGTATGGGATTCTTGCTGTTCAGAGGGTCATCTAAACTCGTATCTGCAATCCTCTGGCAAGACAGTGGTAGCATGAATGATGGTGAAAGTATTCTTTTTTTGGGTCACCCTGCCTCAGTAGGATATGACCAGCATACTAAAAAAAGAAATGTCATTAATTCCTATTCACATTTATTAAAGACTAAGGTTGAATAATTACTGTATCGTATTCTTAGCTGTAGCAGCAGTCTGACATTAAAGTGAATAGTTATATAAAAAGTTGGATGTTTTACAGAGCCAAGTGTTGTAGGAGGAAGTTTATCTGGTCACACTGATGCAGTGTGGGGTCTGACCTTCCATTCTCAGCAGCAGCGTCTTCTCTCATGTGCGGCAGATTCTACAGTTAGATTGTGGTCTGCAGACCCTCGCTCACCACTCATATATACTTATGCTGTTGAGAAAGGTTTGTATTTTGTTGTGCACTTCTTGCTTTTTCCATCTTTGTATGAGTTAATTTAGGCTTTTTCTCTATATAGTCTAATGCTCTTGCCATACAATACTGTAACTTGGTTTCCTATGAAATATTTTTTTTTTTACACTTTTGATTCCTCATACATCCTTTCTATTTATGCATGCAGAGTGTTGGTTAAAAACTTCTTTTTACAGTTCATGACTTACTTTCTCTTTCATATCTCATTGCTTTAGAAATTTTACTAGTATTGGCAGAAGAGACACTATTTGAAGAAGTATGCTGAACACTGTTGAAATCAATGAATAACACTGTATTCTTATTAAATGTAATTTATTTATTTAAATGTATTGTTCTCTTATGATTTGTCTTTAATTCCAGATGGCATCCCCACTTCTGTGGACTTCGTCTATGAATCCAGTAACCAGTTTGTGTGCAGCTTCAACACAGCTAACTGCGTTATATTTGACCTGGAGACTGGCAAACCTGTTATGCGTCTTGACACTGAACCTGATCAAGGCAGCAATTCTCTTAACCGACAAATCAACAGAGTAAGCACTCGGTTAATTTCAGTCTCTTGAGGAATTGCAATGATTATAGCAGCTATTGAAGACATTATGGCAACTATTGAAGACATCTTTGATATGTAAATTAAAATTTAGTTACTTTGCATTATCTTAGGCTTCATTGTAAATGACAGTAGTAGATATTAAGGTTTAATATAAAAGTAATTTATGATTTTTACATTGATTGTCATCCACAGGTTGTATCCCACCCTACTCTGCCACTAACCATCACAGGTCATGAGGATCGCCATATTAGGTTCTGGGACAACAACAGTGGTCGTTTAGTTCAGTCGATGGTAGCTCACCTAGACTCTGTTACGTCCTTGGCTGTTGATCCCAATGGCCTCTACCTCCTCTCAGGCAGTGAGTTTAACTAATATGCATTTTTTTTTTTTTTTTTTTTTTTTTTTAGGTGTACTGAGTCATTCATATTTAGGCTTATGGTTGTCTGTGGGTTAAAAATTTGGTGCTAATAAATAAAATCTGAACTGTCATATCTGTGCGCCTCTGCAAAGACCATTATTGTGTGAATGATGGTGAAGGTGTTTCTTTCTGTTTTAGGTCACCCTGTCTCAGTGGGAGACATTTAGCATGTTAAAAATAAATAAGAGCTCCACAAAAATTAATTTTTTGTAAAGGATTACTGCTTTGTATTTTTTTTTTTTTTTTTTTTTTTTTTTTTTTTTTTTTTCCAACAAGTCAGCCGTCTCCCAACGAGGCAGGGTGACCCAAAAAAGAAAGAAAATCCCCAAAAATAAAATACTTTCATCATCATTCAACACTTTCACCACACTCGCACATTATCACTGTTTTTGCAGAGGTGCTCAGAATACAGCAGTTTAGAAGCATACACATATAAAGATACACAACATATCCCTCCAAACTGCCAATATCCCAAACCCCTCCTTTAAAGTGCAGGCATTGTACTTCCCATTTCCAGGACTCAAGTCCGACTATATGAAAATAACCGTTTCCCTGAATCCCTTCACTAAATATTACCCTGCTCACACTCCAACAGATCGTCAGGTCCCAAGTACCATTCGTCTCCATTCACTCCTATCTAACACGCTCACGCACGCTTGCTGGAAGTCCAAGCCCCTTGCCCACAAAACCTCCTTTACCCCCTCTCTCCAACCCTTTCGAGGACGACCCCTACCCTGCCTTCCTTCCCCTATAGATTTATATGCTTTCCATGTCATTCTACTTTGATCCATTCTCTCTAAATGACCAAACCACCTCAACAACCCCTCTTCTGCCCTCTGACTAATACTTTTATTAACTCCACACCTTTTCCTAATTTCCACACTCCGAATTTTCTGCATAATATTTACACCACACATTGCCCTTAAACAGGACATCTCCACTGCCTCCAACCATCTCCTCGCTGCTGCATTTACCACCCAAGGTTCACACCCATATAAGAGTGTTGGTACTACTATACTTTCATACATTCCCTTCTTTGCCTCCATAGATAACGTTTTTTGACTCCACATATACCTCAACGCACCACTCATCTTTTTTCCCTCATCAATTCTATGATTAACCTCATCCTTCATAAATCCATCCGCCGACACGTCAACTCCCAAGTATCTGAAAACATTCACTTCTTCCATACTCCTCCTCCCCAATTTGATATCCAATTTTTCTTTATCTATATCATTTGACACTCATCACCTTTCTCTTTTCTATGTTCACTTTCAACTTTCTACCTTTACACAAAGAAAAAATAGATGCAGAATAAGCTTTAATGTCTTCATTGATTCCTGGTCCATGGTTATCAGTATTTGTGAAGAAAATACTGTGACCAGTTAATATCCATTAAATACTAGCACTTTATTGGTGTTATTTTGGGAATTATTTTAATCATTTTACTTTTGGTTCTTGATTAGCTTACTAACAACGGCATTTAGTGAGTAATATAGTAAAATTGTCATTACTCCTCAGGTCACGACTGCAGTATTCGCTTGTGGCAGCTGGACAGCAAACAGTGCGTACAGGAGATCACGGCTCACAGGAAGAAATTTGATGAGAGTATATTTGACGTGGCCTTCCATCCTAGCAAGCCTTTCATTGCCAGTGCAGGAGCAGATGCCCTAGCTAAAGTCTTCGTCTGATCATAGAATGACTCCCTTAGACAGTGTTCTAAATCCAAACCCCAAATCTCTGCTGGAGAAGCAGATTCCAGGGCTACAGTATTCCTCTATTGCCTCAGACTTTCGTTGTGCAGATGATATGTCAGAGTGCTGTGTTTACGGTGATGTAAATAGTACTAGAATATCCACTTGAGAGTTTGAGACCTGATTTTCATGTTAGCTTTCTTTTCCAGAAGACGTTTTGAGTAATTTATAGGTATTTCTCATAAGTGATTTGCATTATTTATCTTCATTAAAAGTCACCATTTGAAACTTAAGTTAGATTGAATTAAATAGAACCAATTTCTGGTCTCAGGCTGTCAACCTGATAATCTTTACAGTGCTCTCTCAGCCAATGCAGTGAATTCCTGACCAAAATTTTGAATCATTTTGAGCATTAAATAATGCATTGTTCAGCTGGTTCTGGATTATGGTTGGTATAGTGTGTTTTATTGATTGCCCACATGCTTGATAACTCGAAAAGATCCCAATTGACGTGAGAATCACCGTATTCAAAAGTATTTTTTATAACCTTGTGGAAATGTACAGAATTTTGGGCTCGTCGTGGTAGCCCAGAATCAGCTCAAGCCATAATACTCTAATTTAAGCCAGATTCCACCCAAGGATAAATGGCTACAGTACACTTAACAGATTCATATTGGTGCATATGAAGTCCTCTAACAGACAGTGACCAGCCTTGTTAATTCCTCATTAGTGATAACATTTATAGAGATACCACCACCTTAAGTTGAAACAGATTGTTGTTGAAATTATGCAAGAATTAAGTGATTTTTATTGAATGCTATGGATGTGTTAAGCTTGGTGGTATCTTCCTGGAGATGACTGAAGGACCCACGACCTAGTAATAGAAAATGAGTCGTGGCCATGAACAGAGAAACAGAGTTGAGCGAGGCTCTCCTGGTGAAACGGATATAATTATTGACTAGTCTTTAAAGGGTTAACATGGAAGTTACCCTGTGGTTTATGAATACAGTACTGGCTTGCACGCAGACTCTCATGGGATGGTTTACATTCTTATATTTATCTGTAAATAAGACAGTTCACTTCTTGCTCATATAGGTAGACTTTTTTTTTTTTTTTTTTTTTTTTTTTTTTTTTTTTTTTTTTTTTTTGCCAAATGTTGCTGGGAAAATAATTGTCTTGTTACCAAAATTGATGCTGGTAAATAATCTCTAAAGTATACATTTTAGAGGGTACTTACACGAAGGGTAATGAAGCCCTTTTGTGATTAAGTTTAACTAATACCTGAATAGTTGTAGCACAGACTTTTCAAGATTGACCAGCTACTCAGATGTGGACTTGTTAAGTGCAGTCCATAATATGGCTATGTGCTAGCATTATTTAAACTTAGAAGAAAAAAATAGAGAGAGACTCAATGAAAGTTGAATATCTAATCAGATATTGTATAGAGATTTGGTGAATTATATATCTGTCTTTAGCTAAATTTGACATTGAATTTTATGTATTTTTATGCACAAAACTGGTTATTTTCTCATCAACAGTTGGCTGAACCCACTCTCATTAGTTTTCATTTGCATTAATTTCATTGTTTGTGATGGTATCAGATTTTGAGCCTTGGATAAATTTAGAATAAGGAATGTATTGCATTATATAGTGAATTTCAAAATATATATACATTTTTATCCCTGGAATAATGTCAAGCTATAATCCCTGCCCTGTTAATTGATTTTTTTTCATTGTTATACTTTTAGACTTCTTTCAAATGGCAGAAAGTTACAGGGTTTTTAAATAATTTTTTATAATGGAGAAAATAATTTTTTAGTTTTCACAATACAGTAATTAAAAACAATTTTAATCATTTATCAATATAAAAGACTTCAACCTTATGACATTGTATTTTATTGCATTTGTATGTTTAATTTATTACAAAAATAGTCCTATTATGTGTTCATCTTACAGTCCATTAGTAATTTTACATATTTCAGTTTGTGGGGAAGGGTGAGCTTCTGCTCTCAGTGCTGCCTCTTAACTTTTATAGTTGCTAAGCCCAACCAATGTGTGCCAACTCTTCTTTCTTCTTTCAGATATTTCTGTTAATGTAGATGGCAACATTATCTTGCATATTAATATTCTTTATTTTGCATCTCTTGTGTACTGTAACATTTTTGTCTTCCCTTTTCCCAAAAATGGTATACAACAGATTTACACATTTTTTTGATACCTTGCAGTCACATATATAAGGTTGTTTGTATAAAATGTTTTATAATAGGCTAATAATACAGCGAGAAGAATGAATTTTAGATTTGGAGCGTGAACATTGAGAAAGGGACAAGTGATGCATATAGGAGACTGCATGTGCCAAGGTACCTTAGTGGGAGATAGCAGTGTTGAAAATAAATCTTTAAGTATTTGAGCATGGACATGTCAGCAGATTGGTCTATGACAGATAAGGTGAACCATAGAATAGGTGTGGGAAGAATGGGCAGTGTTGAGGGATCTGTGGAAAGAAGGAAGGTTATCTAATGGAGGCAAAAAGGGGAATGTTCCAGAGAATAGTGGTACCAATGCTTTTGTATGAGCGTGAGGTCATGGTTTGGAACACTGCACCATGGAGGCAGCTAGAGGCAGTGGAAATTTAATGTTTGAGAGCAATGTTTGGTTTGAATATCATGTAGAGAGTTTGGAACCTAGAAAATAACCCTTTAACCATGTCATACCAAAAAAATAAAGTTCCTCTGTGTGTGGTAAGATTTTGAAATAAAAAGTTGTTGTTTTCACAGTTTGAAAGAGTCCATTTTTATGAATCAAATACAACAACTGACTTACTTCACAAATTCTGATACCTTCAGCCCTTTCTACCTCAATCTCTTGCTACCCTCTACCCCCGTACTATCCCCTGCCCCGCTGTTTTCTGTAACCTACTGATCATCCGTCCTCCCTTCTGCCGCCCAATACCCTCGCTTCCTTCCCTACCCTGCAGCGCTGTATAGCCCTTGTGGCTTAGCGCTTCTTTTTGATTATAATAATATGAATCAAATAAGACAAATGAGTGAAATCTAATGAACATTTATGAATTTCTGATGTGTTAACCCTTAAACTGTCCAAACAAATTTACGTTCACATGCGTAGTGCTCCAAAAGTAGATCTATGTTTTTTTACATATTTTCAAATATAAAAAATAGTAGATCAAAGTTTTTTTTACATGTTTTCAAATGTAAAAAAAGAAAAGATCTACTTTTTTTTACATATTTTCAGATGTTGAAAAAACGTAGATCTACATTTGGACAGTTTAAGGGTTAAGGTTGATGAAAAATTCATCAGCAATATCAGCGTAAATGCATTAGTGATATTTAAGTTTTATGATTTACTGATGCCAAATCATCATTTTCATTTTCTTTTTCCTTGAGCCAGGAGAGAAGAAAGGATTCTGGTAATAAAATTTACTGTAATTTAATGATGGCTATTTTGATAGTGGCAGCATTCTGCTTTGGATTGGTAATGCTGAATGATCAATATGGGTCTGTAGTACTTTTTTAAGAAGTCAGCTGTCTCCCACCGAGGCAAGGTGACCCAAAAAGAAAGAAAATCCCCAAAAAGAAAATACTTTCATCATCATTCAACACTTTCACCTCACACATAATCACTGTTTTTGCAGGGGTGCTCAGAATACAACAGTTTAGAAGCATATACGTATAAAGATACACAACATTTCCCTCCAAACTGCCAATATCCCAAACCTCTCCTTTAAAGTGCAGGCATTGTACTTCCCATTTCCAGGACTCAAGTCTGGCTATATAAAAATAACCGGTTTCCCTGAATCCCTTCACTAAATATTACCCTGCTCACACTCCAACAGATCATCAGGTACCAAATACCATTCGTCTCCATTCACTCCTATCTAACACGTTCACGCACGCTTGCTGGAAGTCTAAGCCCCTCGCCCGCAAAACCTCCTTTACCCTCTCCCTCGTATAAATAATTTCCTTTATGAACAAAAGTGGCATATACTGTATTAGAAAATGTTTCTTTGAAGAGATTCATTTATATTTTAATAATGGCTTCATTGCAGTTTCTTAGAGCAGACAAGTTCAAATTAAATATTGGCATATGGTATGATTAACAGTATTTTTTTTTATAATTTAGAAATACAGGTAACTTGTTAAGCCTTTGCTTTAACTTTTTTTTATTATTATTGATGCATTTTTCATTATTAGTTTGTTTTAGAAATGTGTAACTTGTTATCCAGTTTCAGTAACAGTAACTTCTTTGAAATTCATTTTATTTTTGTATGCTTCTGAAATTACTGTTCACTTCAATTTAAATTTTGATGGTGTAGTTTCCTCAGAGAATTGCTAGTGAAACTAAGTTGAAGAAAGACAGTACAGTACATCATTGGCTTACCATAATTTTTATTATCACAGAAAATGCTAAACCCATGTGGGTCATTCAGTGTTGCAAGGCAGTGGGTTGCTGTCATGAGAGGGCAAAGTGGTAGAAATTTAGAGGGTGAGAGTAAGGGCAAGAGGAGGAGGAGGAGGAGCAGATAGTGTGGTAAATCAGTTATGGTCAAGAAGTTCTTGTACAAATCTGCATTAAAGGTGGGACATTCAGATGGGACAGTTAATCATAAAATTTAAAAGTAACTGAGGGCTACATGTGTTTGACTTTTAGTATTTCTGTTGCATGCAGTTTTCTTAGTTATATCTACTCTGCTGACTTGTCATTACATCTGTCTCTGCAGCACTGAAGCGCTTTTGCTTAACTGAAGTGACTTGCCCACTTTTTAGGGCATAAAAGCAAAAAGAATTTTGAATGTGACTACTGTATTTTGGTAATACAAGTTTGCACTTTAATGGCTGGGTAGGCAATATATCTGGAATTAGTGAAACTGATGTGCTTCAGTCATTCAGCTGTCCTACTTATCCATTCGTTCCCCACCTCTTTTCTTCCATGTTGCATTTACTCCAATACTATCTCCTAATTACCTCACTCTCATGACCATACTTTTTAATTTTTACAAGTCATACATTTCTCGACACTAGCACAGAATTTTTAATTGCCAATAAATTCACTACATACTTATAAAAACCAACATCCTGCAAATACCTGACATTTGGCTGATTTTCTAATTTGTTCAGCTTATGTAATATCAATTTTTTTTTAGTCTGGAATAGCTGTCTATAATTTATATATTAAATGATGCAGTTTCTGTATACTTTTTTTTTTTCTCAACTTTATTACAAGTAAAAAATACTTGTCTTTTTTGTTAATTGTAGTGTAGCTAGCATTTGGAAATCATCTATAGATGATGTAAGACTAGCTATCTGGTTATGGTAATGGGTTTATTAAGGTGGTTAATTTGTACATAAAAGTAGTAACATAACTAACAGACTAAAGGACTCTATTATATAATACTGTTCTTTGATCTCTCCTCTCATCCCCATCTTCCCATAATTTTTTTTTACAGTTCTTAATTCTTAGTCATCCTTCATGATTTATTACAGGCACTATGTGACTTATGGGTTTAGCACCTTCCCATGATTAGGCAATTCCATATATCATAATTAATATCTTACATCAGATCTTATCAGCATAAGTAATTCATAATACCATAAGAACAAGCCTTTAAAAGGGGAGAAACAGGAATCCTTATCACCAGTAACTCATGCTGCCTAATTAAGGATGCTTTCATTTTTTATATCACACTGGCCGTCTCCCACCGAGGTAGTGTGACTGGAAAGAGAGAGACTTTCATCATCATTCACACTATCTCTTGTCTTGCCAGAGGCATGTAGATACTACAGTTCAGATGCCCTTCCAAAGCTGCAAATATCCCCACCCCTCCTTTAGAGTACAGACACTGTACTTCCCACCTCCAGGACTCTAGTCCGACTCACCGGTTTCCCTGAATCCCTTCACAAAATGTTACCTTTCTCACACTCCAACAGCTTGTCAAGTTCCAAAAACCATTTGCTTTCATTCTAATATGTTCATACAAACCCATAGTATCTGCATGTTGTATATAGAAAGCAAATGCTGCACTTGGTTTGTTTATAATGTCATTAATTCCCTAGTCTCATAGCCAGTAAATATACATGTAATAAAAAGGTTCTCAC